GACATCGGGTGGTTTTTGTACATAGAAAATATTTTGCACCACTGTACAAAAAATTATAAAAGTTGGGTTTAGTTTAGAGGAAGCATGGCTAGTCAGAACTAACTCTGAAAAACTTATAGAATAGCATTTATACATAGGCTGCATTGTGATTGCGATAGGGGGGGACCATCAAAATGTGTTTGCCAATTTGATCGAGTATAATGAATAAAACAGGGTAATTTTGTTTGCAAGTTGAAATCCTCCAGTAATGATTTGGTAATTTTGCCCAAATATTTAACAATGTCAAACTGTTGATATGATAACGGAAAAATTCAATGGGAAAGTTTTTGAAATCGTCAGCTGTACAGTTCTCCAAAGATTTTGTGTCCAATAAGAATCTGTTGATATCTGAATTTAATCCTGACATTTTTTACGTACGCGCGCACAAACGCAACGTACTTTTTGCGAATTCTTCTCTATAGAATCCACCTTGAATAATGTTTTTATTTTCGACTTCAATAATGTATGTTATGGGATTTGTTAATTTCACTTTTTTAATTTGAAATATTTCATTGGACCAATTAGGCGTATAACCCTTTGTAAATAATTCCCTCTGTTTACTGATTCTAACAAAATCTATAACTTTGAATTTCGAACTATTAATATCGGTCCGAGGGTTCCCGAAGTGGATGTCTGGCTCAAGCGCTGTCTTCTAGATTTGTCTGAATTATTCTAGATTTGTCTAGACATGTTTCGACATAAAACGGTAAGATTTGCGCACGCGTAAAGAAAATATTGGTGTGGTGGTGGTGGTTTTGGGGGGTTGATGGTGCAGCAGCAAGAGAACATATTAGTTCCCAGCGTCGTTAAAGTAAGAAGTAAGCAAATTGTTATTGTTGTTGGTGGTTCGAAAGAAGTAAAAACCCAAAAAAAGAAAAAATGGCAGAATTGACAGCAGCAGCAGCAGCAGCAGCTGCGGGAAATCAAGAATTGGAATCGGTCTTGTGGGATATATTTAACGTATTTTCCAAACTGAACTGGACTTATGGACACGAGGAGGCCTCGTATTCCGGGTCGCAAGACGAGGAAAGGTTTAGAGGTGCAATGGAGGCAACGTTACGCTGTCTAAGTACGTATAATTTGGAACAGCTTATAATAAATGTCGCAGCAGTGGGTTTACCCTTGTGGTATTTGAACCCCCTGAAAAAGTTTCTATCACACGATGTCCTGCAAACATGGTTCCGAGAAAATCAGTATGATTATTATGAGGAAGAAGAACAAGATGAGGATAACGATAAAGAAGTATATTACCGAATTTAAATATATTATTTTTTGTTCACAAATGTATTATGATGATGATGATTATGATGAAATAAAACAAACATTTGTACAATTCTATGTTTTTTATTCTCTCCACCCTGTAACTATATATATTTTTCTGTTTGTATATTTGAATGGTATAGTATTTCAGTGGTCTTATCGCCGCCGTCATACGTCCTTCAGCTGATTCACACCAAGCCTAGTAATTCGCAAACCGCGGGCGTTTGGCTATTGTATTTTAGTTTGTTTCTAACTTTTAACGGCGCTGGTAGATCAAGAAATTTACTGTGTATTTTGAACGTTTAGTGAAAAGGGTTTAAATGTGATGTTGAAGAAGGGTGTAAGTGTATGTGTTGGATGGATAAAACGTGGTGAGTACGTATTTCTAACCTATATCTTTTTTATTGAATACTCTTAAATTAATGTTCATTCCCTCAGACGTTATATTTTGCATTATGTACATAATTTTAAATTTTTTCTGTTTATTTTGCGCATAAGAACTAACACACCCAGTGATTTTGGCGCGTTTGGCGTTTGACGCTTACATTTAATCTTTGATTTTTAGTAAAGTAATGTCTTTTGAAATCAGTACTTTGAGGGAATGAAAATTAATTTAAGAGTATTAAATAATACTCTTAAATTAATTTTCATTCCCTCAATCGTTATGTTTTGCATTATAATATGTACATATTTTTAAAATTTTTCTATTTACTTAGAAATAAGGCCTCGTTGGTTTTGGCGCGCTTACGATAACAACCGATGTTTGCCGAAGTCTATGACAGTAGACCTTCAATAGCTTTAACAGTACTTATTAGTTAATTTTGATAAATTATTAAATCAATGGAAAAATACATATAGTTCATATATATTTCATATACATATATATATATATATATATATATATATATATATATATATATATATATATATATATATATATATATATATATATATATATATATATATATATATATATAGGATAAAATTAATAAAGCGAATAACAAGGTTAAAAGCGAGTCTTAACTTGTCTTTGAGGGATATATGTAATTTCACTTTTTATGGAATAACGGTAAAGCTGCTACCTTGCTGAATGTCAAGGATAATGCTCAATTAGTATGCAATTGTGATATATAAATACAATTTGTAACAAATTTAATGAGTTTTATTTTTATACTAAATATAATAATATTCCTAAAAGACAGATGTGTGAACAACTCGGAGTGACTTTTTACCCCTTTTATTTATAAAAATTCGAACTCCGTGCAGTGTGCCGATTCCAAAAATATATAACACTTATGGGTTTGCGCGCACTTAACTAATTAAGGCCCCTGCGCGAACCGACCAAAACGTGTTTTTTAGCTAAACCGTAAGAGAAAAACGTGCGCACATAGCGGAAAAAGTGGCTTTGCCACCCCAGCTGATAGCGGTCTTTCACCCCTAGCCCTTTTGGCATTCATCCCTAATATTATAAGAGGGTGGATAAATACATATATATAGTTACATATGTTCATACATATAGTTTTTATAATAATAAACATTTAGGGTGGTCATATCTAAAGTAGTTCCAAGAAATGATATGACGTCAGCATCGTATTTATTTATCACAAACCACATATACTTTCGGGTGTCGTGTGTTTAGTCTATTTCCAGCAGTTGTGAAAAGCGTTTGAATGTGATATTGAAGAAGGGTGTAAGTGTGTTAAGTGTATAATACCTATAAACCCTGGTGAGTACGTATTTCTAACCTATATATTTTTGGTTTAATACGTTAAATTAATTTTCATTCCCTCAATCGTTACCTATGTTTTGTATTATATTATGTACATATTTTTAAATTTTTTCTGTGCCTACATTTCTTCGATTGCTTTTTTAGTCGTCTCTAAACTTTGTTTAATAAATACTTATAGCGTTAACAAAGGTCTTGGGGTACGTTATGTTTTGCATTATGTACATACTTTAAAATCTGTTTTCTGTTGAACTTGTGCATAAGTACTACGCTGATTTTGACGTTTGCTTTTGGCGATGTTTACCGAAGTCTATGACAATAGACCTTTAATAGTTTTAACAGTTCTTATTAGTTAATTTTGATAAATTATTAAATCAACGGCGCATGTGCTAAAATTAAGGCTTTTACATTACAAAGGGCCTCTGATACGTGTATAGATTTTTAAAATTTTTCTGTTTACTTAGAAATAAAACCTCGTTGATTTTGACGCTTGCTTTTGGTGATGGGTTCAAACTTCAACATTCAAATACACATGGTGTTATAAATAAAGGTTACATTTATTTTTGTATCAGTGTTTAAGTGAATGTCGTTGTGACAACACGTATGCTGCTCCCCCGCTCTTGAATTGGTTTTTAAATAGCTTTACCTGTACTTATTAGTTAATAATAAATTGTTAATATATAGGTACTTACCAACGCCGGTGCTGTCGCTGCTGCTGCTGTTGCGCCTTTTGGATGAAGATAGCTATTGTGGTAAGTAAATATTTGTTATATTCTAATAAAAGTTTTTTATTTTTGATAAATTATTAAATCAATGACGTTCCATAATTTTTTATTTTGGTAAATCAATGGTAAATGCGCTAGTAAAATTAATCATCTGTTTGAATGGGGAGGGCCCCACAAGGTATGAGACATATGGTGAATGGCGTTTTTATATGTTATTTGACTTGTATACGAACGTTGTTCATTAGGTGATCTATACCTTTGAGACAACTTAAATGGGGCCCTGGTCAACACACTCCTCCCGTTATTATATATAGACATGTAATACAAATAATTTTAAAAGCGATTGTGGTCCCGTTGATTAAGGCGTTAGCTTGGCGATCGAGAGGACCGTGGTTCAAATTCTGCACGGAACTTTTTTATTAAATTTCACAGATTGGCGCTCGGTGATTACGGTCTTACGGCTGGTTCCTGGAATTCAGTGCAAAAGTGATTTATTAAATTTCAGAGATGATGACTCATCCATCTGGCGTCACGGATGATGACGTCATACGTCAATGGGCCCCATATTACAGTTACCTTCCTTATAGCGCTTGAGCTACCCGATAGGTGGCGCTTGGTAGTTCCGGAGGTAGGCGCTACATGGCGGTCGGTGTCTACGTACACTGTTGCCGGCTACTCAACGAAGTGCAACGTTGCCAAATCTAAAAATCAGTAGATTTAGGGAATTTACATATACCCCATGTTATAAGATTTACATGGGGTGGGTCGCTATGGACGGGAAAATTTCCCTAAATTTAGGGAAAAATGGGGGTTGACCTTGGTTTAAGGTGGCCCCATGACTACTGTCAGCCATACTAATTTCCTATAGCGCTCACCTAAATTTGTGGATATGCTTCTTCTCTATCTCAATTATCTTAATCAATCAATCAAAAATTGACGAACAAAATAGAAAAAAAAATAACACAAAATATAAAAAAATACAAATTTGTTTATTAGTTTTAAGGGACATTAAAAGTTAAAAAAGAAATTTATACAAATAAAAATAAAATAAAATTATTTCCCGACTGTCAAACAAGTAAGTCGGATATACCAAGCATCAGCAAAAAACTCCTCCGCGTCATAATGGGCGACATGCTCTAATCTCTTTATTTAAAGAGTCTATCGATTATAGTAGCATTTCTAATGACGCTAATTCTAGAAAAAGTTAAGATCCTAAAGCCGCATTACAACTTTTTATCATTCTCTTGCAGGTTGGTGATGAAATCTTGGCGGTCAATCTGGTTGACGTGACGCACATGAGCCTCGACGATGTCGTCATTATTATGTCTATCCCCCGCCGATTGGTTCTAGCGACGAGACAACGGAAGGGCGGCAAGGGCGGCCAAGGGTCGCCCTCGGTGCAACCTAGGGCGGAACATAAGCCCCCTCCCGTCGTGGTCATCAAACGTGATCTCAGAGAAGACGAGGGTGATGAAGTGGATGCTCCGGATCAGCATAGGTTAGTCTCGTGCCTGAGAAATAAGTGCAAGTATTTTAACTGCTAGTATAGTTCGACCGCAGAAACACGCCCTTGAGGTTTTTTGCGAAACAAAATGTTAAAAATTTTATATTTTTCTTGACATTTTCCGGAAAATATTGAAAAACTTTTTAGTGTCGCTCGTTCAGTTTCCGGAAATTTGTTTTCAATCGTTTCGCTCAACAGTTATAACGTCAAAATATTTTGATAGTGCTTACCATTTTCCTAAGAATTTAACAGTATTTTATGCACGTGCACACTCACATATCTATATTAAACTGACAATCACATATTATAACTTTTAGCAGAATATTATTTTAATTTTTACATTTTTCTATTAGATATGTAAATAGTCAACGTTTACATTTAAACAGATCAGCTGATTGAATTTTAGGTTATCCAATTAATTTGAGAATTATTACTACATAATTAAGAGAACTTGAAAATAAAAATAAGAATGCAATTATTCTGAAGGTGATGGTAATGGTCAGCTCTTCATATGATATTATAACTTTACTATTAATTGCAAAAAAGTAACTGCTAATCATAGACAAATAAATTATGATTTGTTCATATTTTATAAGAGATATGAGTAGTTTCCGATAGTAGAGCTGTCAGTATACCAGGAAGGCAAGACAACCACCTACACTACGTCTACCAGCATTTGAGGTTTTAAATTCTAAGTATTTATTACAAAGTTCACCTAAACGCCCACTTTGAATAAAATGGCGGCTGATGATATATGTCTATTTACAACCATACCGACGGACGCCTTTGTGTTTTTTATTCATTTTGTCCTTTACTCCTACGTGGATCATAGGGCTTCAATAAATACTCTTCAACGGTTTCGATTGTTTGCAATTGATTTGACATCTAGCCATGATCACTTTACCGCTTCGGTCTTTTTAATTGTCCTTTGCCATGTGTGTCTTGGACGACCAGTTCTTCTATTGCCTTGTGTATTTCACTCAATAGTTCTGCCAGCGATTTAATGCTTTATTTTTTGCCGCTTTGTGTTATTAGCCAGTGTTATATTTTTAGTTAGTGGTATAAAAATCAAGTCTATAATTAATAGGTAAATAAAATTTAAATTAAACTGGGAAGCATTATATATTTTAATAAATTTTCAATCAAATATTCGTCAAAGCTACTTTGAAACCTTATATTTTTTGACATTTACATTACCGTAATTTTATATAAGTTTTCGGTTGTTTGTTAAACTCATTCTTTCAGTTTACTGGTTTTAATCACAAAAGTCACAGTAAATATAGGCGAGCCGCTAAATAGATGGATATGGTAAACCGTTTGGTATTTATTTGAGCAATTCCAATTAATTAGTATTGTACAAATTTAGCTTGTTAATTCAAGCAGTCTTTGGATTTTGATTCTATTTTAATTACGGAATGTTTTAAGTGTTTCCACTACCGTTTCTGTCAAATGCTTTATTTGAATATCGGCGAGTGTTTCATTTCAAATTTTGAGTTTACACTAACTTCAAAGTATATCGTATATCATTACTTCGTATATTTATTTGAACTTGTGTTATTTTAATATGGTTGAGTAGGCGACGACCCTTATATTTTCTGGGATAACAGAGTGCCAATCAGTGATACCAACTCGTAGAAAATTTTCCGATTCGTGGAACATTTCCAAATCCAATGCGAAAAAGGAAATTTTAACCCAAAATAACATATTCGTGAAACATTCTAAAATTAATATATTATTTATAAAAAAAATTATCGCATTAGGGAAACTGAGTAAATTGGGCGTTTTATAATGATAAACTATACCGTACTTTGAAAACCTCGTAAGTTCGATATATTTTAATTAGTGCGCTATCTGTGGACAATTTTTTTTCACAATTCTCAAAAAAGTTTTTTAGTTCTTTTGTGAAAACATTTTTTTTTGTACTTACGGGGTTTTTAAAGTAATGTATCGCAACTAAAAATTCTCTACAAAAACTAAATACATTTAAATATCTCACTCGATAAAAAGAAAATTTGGCGCATCGCCTACCGCGGCTCTGATACAGGACGTACAGGACGTGTATAGTCTAAGAGCTGGCTACATAAAAAACCTTATCATCGTTACATGGCTAATTTTTTGTGTGAAGTATCCTTTTGTGTAGCCATTATGAAATAGTCATGTCTGCCAGCGCGATCACGGGGCTTAAAGCGGGGGCGACCAATCGAAAGGGTGAAATTTTGACACTAAAAATATTATAAGATATATGAGTTATAATTGCGAAAATAGCTTTTATTTATTATTAAGAAATGTGGAAAATTGTTGGCCGATATTTTTCTAGTCGCTAAAATGCCGACAGACAACGCGAAAGAGGCATGAAATTTTAAAAATTGAATGAAAAAAATTATGGCATATTTGCATGGCGATTGGTGAAATGTCATATTTATTTGTTTTAAAAGCCGTATGCAAAAGTGCAAACAAAATGATCGTAACTCAATCAGGAGAACTCCAGACAGTTATCAAAAGCGCGATACTAATCTAGCTAAATCATATAATATACGATTATTACAATTGAGGGTTGGAACCTTTGGTGTTACACAGCAAAATAAAAACACTAAATGACCACAATACACCAAAACACTTTTACTTTTACACTGGACGCGCGTTTCACTAACCATGTTAGCATCATCAGCAGATGATTATAAACTCATTTTTGATTTTACTTGTACACTGGACGCGCGTTTCACTAACCATGTTAGCATCATTAGCAGATGATTATAAACTCATTTTTGAGTTTATAATCATCTAAACCAATTAAACCTCATTTTTGAGTTTATAATCATCTGCTGATGATGCTAACATGGTTAGTGAAACGCGCGTCCAGTGTAAAAGTAAAAGTGTTTTGGTGTATTGTGGTGATTTAGTGTTTTTATTTTGTTTTTTATTTTGATATACGATTATATTATAAATATATTTTTTTATTATTTCAATAACGATTTTTTTGTCTGCTTTTTTGCATACGGCTTTTTAAATTAATTAACAATAAACATGACATTCCATCAACCGACATGCATGTATGCGATGATTTTCTTTTGTCAAAATTCTATGCCTCTTTCACGTTGTCTGCCGGCATTTCAGCTACGAGAAAAATGTCTGTCAACAATTTTACACGTTTCCTAATAATGAATAAAAGCTATTTGGCAATTATAACTCGTGTACCTTATAATATTTTTAGTGTCAAAATTTCACCCTTTCGGCCGTCCCAGCTTTAAGCCCCGGGATCGCGCTCGCAGACATGACTATTTCACAATGGCTACACAAAAGGATAGTTCACACAAAAAATTAGCCATGTAACGATGATAAGGTTTTTTATGTAGCCAGCTCTCGGTCTAGTAGCGCGGAGACCGCCTAGGCGGCTATAGTCTATCCAACGAGAAGATCCATGGCAATGCCAGTTGTGTCTGTCATTTTAATTTAGAGGTAAATTGTATTTTCTGTCATTTTTTGGATATCGTCTATCGAAATCTCCCCTGTCTCGTACAATTAATTCATTTTGTCGGATAAGCCGCAGTTAGTGGCCAGTGGGTTTGTATGAGTTAGGTTCGTTTACTCGCCATTTAAACCCGTGTATTTGTTTAGGTTAGGTTAGGTTACGATATTCTCGGTCGGTGGCAGCACCGGCGGATAATGCACCAAGCCTATATACTCATTCTACGGAGAATCTAATTATTTTTAATTTACGTAAAACTAAAATATTCGCTAGAACGTAAAGTTTGGGAACTATAAGCGAAAATCTGAAAAAAGTCGTTACAGGAAACCGTGCAAACTTAGGAAACTCCCCTTTCACGTCAAATCATCTCTAATAAATCTTATTTCACTGGCCTAATTTGTATTTTTCAGTTTCAAGAATGACTGAGAGAATGGTGGTCGTATTTTTTCCATCATGTGAACTGTATCTTATCTATTAATGGTCTTTTAGCTTCTAGAACACAGATGGGGCATATTGTTTTCAAAATATAGGGGAATTCATGTTTAGATTAAGAAAAAAATCCCATATTATCCGGTCTATTTCATATTACCTAAATTAAGTCACATTACATTTCCCTCCAAGAAAAATTATTTCCTTTCCTTTTATCGAGAATCATCGGGAATACACTCCGCTAAAACCATTATTAGGGTGGATCTCCAAATTTAAACGCATTCCACAGACGACTAGAATAAATCCTGCATTTAATGACCCTTTTCTTTTCTCCAATTCTTCTTCGGTATTAAAATTTGGCTCTTCAAGGCCTCTTATACCGCGCTAAAATATCTGGCCCACCCTCTCGCATTGAATTGATTTACGCCTGGAGCATTAATAACTGAAAATTTAAGTAAAATGCGACGCGTCAAATATTCGGCGAAAATTGTTCGTATCGAACAGTTATTGAAATAGTTTGCATTCTAGGCTTTATTGCCAATCATAGCTACGGACTTTAAATGGATTTTAACTTTAAAACATGATCATAATTTAAGAATGGTATTTAAGTTAAAAGAGAACGGTAATGAATATTACAATAAAAAGAGTAAAATGAATTTGAATAAAGAAGTGGGTACCTAATTTAAAAAAAAACTGCAATTTTATCGGGTGTAAAATTAATGAAAAAGTCAAATCGATAAGACTGGTCTGCGTGAAAATCGAGCCTCACACAATTCTTCCGATTCTCATGTAAAATGACCTCCTGAATCCAAATATGAACTCCGTCTTCCTCTACCAGCTCCTCTTTTTGGGAGAGACCCTATTTTTACTTCAAAAGGAAAGCCTTCAAATACGAAAGTTTGGTAAAAACTTGGTACTTTGAGACATCTAAAATCAAACTAAATTTTTTTTAATTCACCCCCGAATAAAGTAATTTTTTGGAAATTGCAGGGAAACGGTAATTGCGGAATTCATGAGCGTCAAATTCTACATAAAAATGATCTCTATACTTTTTTTGATCAAATCAAAATTAACCGAGATAGGGGGGCTAGAAGCTAGA